GGGGTCCGATAGAGAACTCTGAACACTGACCACTAATTACCTTTGAAGTAGAAAGTTGGCAATCCATCTTAAACGACGGTCACCGATCCCGTAATCCTGGAGGTTGGAGAGTAGTATCCAATGGTCTAGACATGCGAAAACCTTGGAAAAATCCAGGTAGATCACATCAAGACCTTATTCAGCGTCAGCTGACTCGGTCCAACCACTGCGTGCGATTCGTAAATTTGTTGTGCATGACCGCTGTCGACGGAAACCTTGCCACTCTGTCGCGATGATGTTACAGTTTCCCAGATACCACACTAGTGCATCGGGAACTATGGATTCTAGGATCTTGGAGAGTATAGGAAGAAGGGATACTGGGCGGCAGTTGGAGGAAGCAGTTATGCTTCCACTTCTGTGAACTTAATCCTGGGAACTTACTCCTGATACAAGCAGCGCTGGAAACGCTAAGCTAAAGGTCTTGCCAGTTGGCTTGCTGCTGCTTCCAGTGCCTCTGGACGAATGGTGTCGATACCAAGCGAGCTGTGTTTCTGTAGAGACGTCGGCTTTTGCGATACAGCATCCACGTTAAAAGTGATGTGGGTTAGTTCTAGAGAGGGGACGACAAAGGTTGGTAGACCGCTTAGTGGCAATACCCTTTGATACATATTTAATATTGCATCCGCAGCGCGTTTGCTGCTTCCACATCCGTTTTTGTTGGACCATCAGCCGTCCTGAGTGAAGGAAATCCTTGCCTCAACTTTCTTAGGCTATCGACGTGATTGCACAGAAGTTTGTGGTTAGCACTGTAGGATTTTGCGATGTTCTGCTGATAAGCGGCTTTGGCTTCCATTAGCAGTTGAGTGCATTGGTTACGTTAAGCTACGTACGTTTCCTAAATTTATTGTGCTGTAGCTATTCTGTACATTCTCCATGCTGCGTTGTGTTTTGTCAACCTGTTTGAAGTTCTGCTCCTAACAAAAGAAACTGATGTAAAGTTATCTCTGACGCCTCTGAAATCAGCTGACCGAGTTCCGGAAGTTCTTCTTCAAGGAACAACCAAGTTGTAGCGCCGACGATTTTTAGCTAATCGAGCATAGCTTGTGACGGTTCGCACAGTCTCATCGTTCTCATTCCGATGTTCTGCGTAACAGACGAAGTTGAAACTGATCACTGCGTGATCAATCTGACCCAACGGGCAGTCCAAAAACAACACAGCAATCATGTGCTCCCAGTTGGTAAGCACAAGATTCAGCACAGATGACCCGTTGGCTTTTCTGAACCGTGTTGGCAAAGTGATGTGATTGTAAAGAAGAACAGTAGTTATTAGATCTTGTAGATCGGCTTTGAATTGTTCTCCGATTGCAGCCGGAGTTTCTACACAATGTACGCTGAAATCACCCGTAATAAGTATGTGAGTGTACTTTTGTTATAAACTGCATCTTAAAGTGTAGAGTTAGGGTGCGGTACACCAAAACAATTAGGCAAGCATCCCTGCCTTTTAACTGCATCGGTATCAAAAAGCGTCGGGCAACTGCCAGGCTTCGCACTGTAAGTCACTACGGTAATACAGAATTCCCCTGCTCCTTTTGTGAGCTTGGAGTTCCGGAACAGCGACATGCGCGGTTGTGAAACTTCAGCGTCCATCATTCCCGTGTGTAACAACGTCTCGGTGATACCAATGACATCATATGACCCGGAAGCTTGTCGATCTTTCAGTTCGGCAAGTTTATTAGAAAGACTCTGAGCATTCGTATACAAGCAGGCCAGTTTCTCGGTCTCTTGGAGCCCACAGAGAGGGTGAAGGGGTCAAGTGTGAGAGAAGGCCGACCGATGGGAGGTCGGCAGTTACTCGTTTTTTGACGGGATACTAATACCTCCTTTGCAACTTGATTCGGCCAAGCTGTGTCCCAAGCTTCGTTTAGACCTGCGTCAGAGTCAGTTAAAGCAGCAATCAAGTTCTATACATTCATCAGCATGTTGCTGCTTCAGTTGCTATAATATTGGAGCTGTGCAAAGCTTCTGAGACCTATAACCGAAGTTCAGAAGGAAGACGTTTCCAATTTCTCCGCCATCGATCCAAAACATCCTTTGCTTGTTGCTCTGACTGAACCATAAGTTTTAGGATACTAGGGTCGCATCCTCTATAATTTGGTGAGAGAGGTATCCTGGTGGGCGAAAGGGCTACAAAATTATCCAGAAAGTGTTACACGAATGAACCGACACTGTTCTAAGCCGTGTTTTCTGGTCTCTTGAACATCATTAGAAGGATATTCTGGCCCGCCATGTATAAGAGATTGTATTCAGGCGGTCTTGCTTGCTGTGCCCCACTTCGGTGTTGATTTCTAATTGTTGCGCCCTCCAAGGGACATCAGGACAGATATGTATCCCACAGGATGCGTGTTTTAGCGCGCTTGCGGAGAACAAAACTTTTCTATGTCGGTGGAGGATTCGAGTGTTACTCAAAAAGACTGGGTTTCCCATAGTGTGGTGAGTTCGGATGACGAGGAATTCGTAATATGTTTATAAAATTGGCTTTGACAGTCATCCGTACGCGTAATAAATTACATCGGGCTAGATCGTCCGACGACATCCTGCAAGTTGATGGCGGTAGATTCAGGGACATTTGAGTATACAACAGTTCGGACTTTATTGTTGGATCTCTTTACGTTGATCTACAAGGAATGGTACTCGTTTGCCCTGACCTGCTTACAAGTGTTGATTGTCCCTCTGTTCTTGTCAATGGATTTTACAACAGAAGTGGCTGCAACGGCGGCATCCCGGCGGACCTATGTAGCAATCTTTTCAAATATAACTGATGTTCCAGGGGGCTTTGTCTCGACAAGAGACAGTTGAGTTACAGATACCGAGGGTTGGTGTTCGGTTGGTTCATCCTTGTTAACGCTAGATGCCAGGTCTAGTGGAATAGGCTTAACCAGACGTTTCGAGTGGTGCCTGATTTCCGTTGCCGTGAGTAATATTTGACTCTCGTAGGTACGGTCTGTTTTCACCCGGCATTCTAGCAAAATTAGTGAAGACAATGGAGATGGGGGCGTGGCTGATTGCGGTTCAGGGGAAGCGGATTGTGCAGCATTCCTCTGCTTAGAAGCCGCTACGATTCCGTGGTTCATACTGGGTTCCATTGAAATAAGCTTATCGTTTATCCTGTGCTCGGCTTAGATAAGTAAGCATTTAACGAGTGGGATGGTGGAGCACACAGTACAGAACCAAACGGCATCTTGGGAGCTATTTCGCTCGCGTACCTGTTGTTGGGACAGATTTGCACATTTATAAATAAATATAAAAAATGTTTATTCGCGACTAAGCGTGGCACGCCTGCACAGACATGATCATGTTAAGAGTGCAAAATGTGATCAGTTAATGGAAAATGGAACAAAGGGCTTGGCGCATATGTTGATATACGCAGTTATGTAATTGTGCATCTGGGCGTGGTTAGCTGTGTTTATGGAATTTAAATGATTTTCTACCATTTGCTCGTGCTGAACGTGCCGCCAGTGTTAAATGAATGTTTAATGGCTGTGGACTTGAAGCGGTTGTCCAGGTAAGCAATGGGTGACTTTAGTTGGTGTCTACTCACAACCGCCATGTCACAATGTTGTTACACAGAGATTTGTGGCTTTCTCTAAGGAGAACACTTGCCAGGCGAAAACCCACCACGTCCTGAAACACTGCCGCCGAACTATTTTCTGGAACGGGGTAATCCCGAACTACCCAGCTGGCACCACGAGCAGATTGTTCGGCTAGCAAGCCATTTCAAACAGTGCGAGTAAGCCAGACCGATTGTAACTACCCGATGACATTCTGCTAACCCGCAAATTCCTTTCACTTGGAGCCTCTTCGGTTTCGCATTTCTGAAATTCAATGTGGTGTGATTACCTGACACAGAGAGTTGGTTAGCGTTCTGTAATTTTTCAGCTTTGCGAGCGGTGCACCTCGGTCAGGCAAGCGTGGTGGTTGCAAGGTCAAATGAGCGGTCGGCGTGGTCGCGCAGTCCGGTGATGGTTTATGCAAGCACACTGGCTGACAAGGTCACAAAGGGAGGGCGAGTTACTGGAACCTGCAAAGCGAATCTGAACACAGCGCTGAACACAGCTTATCACAAATTCTTGCAGTAGTGTTGAGAAACGTTGGATCGGAATAAGCTTAGGCTTTTCGACCTGCCTCAAGAATTCTGTATCGTATGGTGTCGCACAGAAAGGCAACTGGCTCAATGTGATTAGGTTAACCGCTTGCGCTTAATCATGGATTACAATGAAAACCGTTAGTGATGGCACGGACTTTCATCATAGAAGATATTTCCACTTATGATGGATCACTGTGTAGGGTTGGTAAATCCGGTTCAACTCAGCGTACGGTGACAACGTTGCGAGAAAATGGAGAGCGCATACAGAGGAATAATCCAAATGAACCAGGAGCACGCACCTCACGCGTGTGTGAAGACATTGAACGGGTTCGAGTCACAGACTTGTTATCATCGCTGTCTTATGAGTAGAGATCAGCACACACGGTCGTGGTATAAGGTGTTTTAAGCCGGGTACACTTGATATGTGCCCGCTTATGGTAAGACAAAGGTTCCGGAGCGTATTTAGCTTTATTTTAAAATGAATTGCGGTCCTAAGTGATGGTACCTTTGCAATCCATCTATATAACCTGTGATTCAATTGACTTCCAACCCATCATGTCCTGTTTTAGAAACGAATATGGAAGTATTTATGGTAGCCGAAACACATGAATATGGTTAGTCCAAATGCAACCACATTAACTGACATAACTACAGATTCTGAGTGAATATGAACCAGTTGAGCTACCCTTAATGGCTCTAGCTGAATGTCTAAGTTACAGTATAACTGCGATATATATGTATATATATATATATAGCAGTATAATATTTGTGGCTTGGACACAGTCTTTTAAGTTCCCTGTAATTTAAAGATCTTTAGAAACCACACCATGGAATCCAGACAGAGGTTAAGTCAGATGGAACTCACTTGGGTCACTTTCTAGGGGCTTCGTACCTGTAACATAGAATTAATGTGCGTAAATTTTATCGTATCGTTAGTTATCTAATCGTATCCAAGTAAAATCCGAAGGAATTTAAAAGTACACCAGATCATCCTTGTAAGGTATATTTGGTACTTACGGAATCTAAGCTGTATCACGGTGATGTCGTATATCCTGCCTACTTCAGCGGAGGTGGCTTTCAGTGCTTCTGTAAAATTAACGGTGCTTTGCCCTTCCCGAATAAAGCGTATAGCAAGATATCCCACTGGAAAACGCCGAGTCGGACCAGCAACATTACAACTAAACGGCGCGTTTTTCGTTAGCCTGGATACTCTTCCCCAATTAAGTATCTATGTAAAAGAGTAAAATTATTATTGTTACGCTGCCTTATTTCCTAAGAAAATATTGTACTATTGTGTATAAATAATGGTCGATAATTACAGATATTCATTAACCACAAAGAAATAGTTAACACATGTAGATTGATGCTACCGCCGTATTTAACCTCATTAGTAAACAATGAAAAACTACCTCGATATCCGTGCTTTCGGTCTTAATTAATATATTTATGAACTCGATCAAGGCCTAAGTTCTCCCTGCTTATTTCTATGCAAACACATTTAAGTTCCTTACATTGCTGGTCCTATAGTTTATGAATGTAAGACGGATCTTGTAAGCCAATTATGTATAATTACGCGGTGCTTTTGATGCCATTTAAGACTAGCTCCTCTGCAGTCACCTTAATGCAAATGTGATGTACAATTGAAACCATGAGCAAGACGATGGTAGTGGAGCGTCATTTAGAACAAGCCTTTATATTTAATAGCGTACCGATTGAGAACTTGCCCAATGAGGCATGTTCAACCGACTAGTGATATGTACGATGTCCATGACAATTAACCCCCATTAGTGCGCGGATTGATTTATAAAAATAGCACGGTAACTCATGACATTTGTGCATTTCGGAAAAATCGGATACCTTGATAAACCATCATTGCAGTGGCACTGATTATAACCGATGACCTAGGGATATTCAAAAATCACCGTCATAGAACTGACTGTTAATTTAACGGGATCCAGCTCAGTTTGGATTTGGAGTGACATCATTATAAAATCTGAGTTCACAGTGGCTAAACCTGCTTTTGTCTGACTATTTCGTGCCTGGCGAAGGAGGCTGCTTACATTTGGTTCCTTTGTGGTAACCCAATTTCGGTTAGACTACTGAGGCTCGAACATACCTGACGATATTTCAACCCCCGGACTAATAACCTAATCGAGAAAACAATATGACAAGTTCATGCATGGCACTTCATAGATAACTTAGCAACGATGATGTAATACTGGTAAAACCAATGACCTAAGCATAGTGCTCCAAATCAGTACTGCACAATACTATGTTTGATTTGCAACAGGCCCATGGAAACACAAATATGCTAACCAAACAACTGAAAACCTTGCGTACAAGTAAGTTATCCAAAAAGTTAGGTTCATTGCAATTATCACAACCTTACCCTTGGGCAAATACTCTCTTCAATTTTTTTCAGCTCTGTCACAGTGTTGTATGCCATGCACCATTCATGAAATTGACCATTTTCGTATATTTCCATGCCAAACCGAATAACTTTAATGTGCAAAGAAAAACAAGTGATACAAAAGGACAAAATTTGCAAATTTTAGGAAACCTGAGACCAATTATTGTATAATTCATCCTAGACACTTGCCTTTCGCCAACTATAATAATTCCACGACTATTTCAATGTACTTCCATCGAACTGTCTTCAGTACAAAATCCCTTATCATTATTCACGCTTGGCCGATCATATGCTGATTCTCAGTGCCTTCCAATTCAGTATTAATATACTGCACAAATTCTGGTATAATATTGGTTGCACTAGCGATGAAAGACGGCATATCATTTTGGCATATCAGCAAGGATTTTGTTCGCTTGCCAGGCCTGTTTGCCGTTTCTCATAATCTGTTTAAAAAGCTGAATTACCGGCCACGCAATATTGTTGTCTGCGCCTGCCAGAGCCAAAACAGAGAAGCAACCAATTGGGCAATCTGGTTACCGAATGAGATCAGTATGTTGTTGGAATTAAACAAAAATTTGATTGGGAATATGACTTACTGGTATTTCCAAGCTCATCTACGGAAACTGTTAGACATAAAATAAAATTGCCTCTTTATCCATCTGCGCATATTAATAGGTGTTGCTCGAAACCTTACTTCTGTCACACTTTGCTGTTTATTGTTCATTTCAGTTCCTAGGTAGCTTTTACATTTAATGCAATTACTCTAGTTACTGAACATTTCACGTTCCTCTGAATGGCACCGGAAAGCTGAGGAAAATATTCACCGTTCTATGTTCTATGTAATGTATTGCTTATAAGCTCTTCGTATTACACAGTGAAGGAGTGAAGGAACACAATTTTCGATCGGAAAGAATAGGTTGGTCAAAGTTTCCGGTGCACCTTCGAACAAATTGGCAACTCTAAATATTGCCAACTTACTCACATGTTGGCGGACTTTGCCGACTACAGGTCCTGGCAGATTTGCATTTCCCATGGTCTGTTTGTTAAAATAATGATACAGATTTTCAATCACTTCCTCAGTGTGTATCGATCTGTCTTGCTCTTTGCTGATTCCGAAAGTGATAATCACGTATCCACGTGTCGGATGACCAAAGAGTTCGACAAGTTGACAATTCCTCAGCTGACTGAACACCTTCGCCTTGGATTCCAACAATGTCGTCAGCTGCAACAAGGTTTCGAGCATTACTTAAAGTTTGGTTGTTACCATCATTAGACATAAAGCGGGTTGTCAGGCCAGAAAAAGATGCTGGAAATCAGATTTAACAAATGGGATGCACCATATTGCGTTCAATTCCCAGTCAACTTATTTGTATCTGACGAAATGAGTGCTGTCATAATCAAGTAGTGTGAACATCTTAGAATGAAACATAACGTATTCCTTCACCCTCTGAAACTGACAATTCAGTATAGCCGGCTTGAATGCCGTAGAAATTTCGTTTCCTCTACGTGTGCCAGCCTTGGAACGCCCTCCCTAATTATGTCGTCTCTGCCAGTGCTTTTCCGGGCTTGTGATGGCTGTCTGAGTGAGTCTAGATGTGACGAATTTCTACCTATACCACTCAACTCCCCCTACTACTTTTTTGTAATCAGTACGCAGACCAAACTGCTTATAATGTTATAGGTTAATTGGCGGCTTACGTTTGCTACGTTCGTCGCTTGGTGAGAGGGCTACCCTGTCCTCTGCGTGGTAGTAACGTGAAAGTCGGGCAATAGTGAGCGGCGCTATATCACATGTAGTAACTTATTCACGATGGTCGTTGCCATCCCCCGTAGCTCAGTGGTCCTAACCACGGACTGGCAACAGTCAAGATGCGGGTTCGAGCCCTACCGGGGGTCCGATGGAATGCGCACTGCTGACGATTCCCGAAAGGATGAAACGCGCGTATCACAATCTGGCGATATTAAAAAAAAGGGGTTGACGATGCATTTTCTCACTTACATTTCATTTCATGACTTGTTAGCCAGGGGCTACAAAATGCATCAAACGGTGTCTTACCAAACGCCTAACCGATGGATTTATGGATTTATATGTTTAATACGCGAACATCTCCGCTATTCCACATAAGTCCATGGTGAGTCCACCACAACGCTTTTCGCTTTATCATGCAATTGGTTTTCACGACAATTTCCATCTTACGGGACTTGTTAAGCAACGCTTTTTTACCCGCAATAAACCATAAAAAAACATAAATAACTCACGCGTCGGCAAACGTCGTACCGAATTTTCCATTTTTCCGCATTCCCTTCATCTTTCAGCTCCTCGTTCCAAGTCTGATTCTTGCCGTGTTTGAGAATGAAGCCCATTACGCTGACGTCTAAAAAAACGGAATATAAAACTAACTAGAAAAAGTATTACGAATTGTATTAACCTTGTTAAATTTCATCATTCTTGTGATTAGCTGCAACATTCTAGGAACGCGCCGTCCAATAAGTAGTGCAAAGAGTGCGAACCATGCACTATAATATTTGCTAAAATATTATTTTATTTAGGTACAAGATGAGGTTCGAAACTAGAGTAACACAAACGTTTAACTTACCGTACGAGTAGAGTGGTTCTCCGAATACTCCGGAAAGGGCTAGCAAACAATGAAATTTAAAGAGTGCACGCATGTTGTAAAGGCAGGCATAAATCAGGAGCTACATTTTACGCACCGTAACCGTCAAGCAGTGAGTCGATCGTTTCGTTTTGCGACGAAATGTGGTAGAATCATAAAGGTAATTACACCATTCTCGGATACAGTACAATAGAGCAGTGGAACGATGCATTATGACGAATAAATTAGACATGCTTTACAAGTCTCTACGTTTATCAGAGAGTTGAAAATCAAATCTTATACATGTGAGCAAAACAGTGCTGCCGAAAGATTAGATATTAGAAGTGACACTGTGGTAATGCGATCGCGCCACACAAATCTGTTGTGCTCGTAAGGAACAAACGCATAACTCACCCACCTGAAAGGATTTATGTACATCAGCATAGATAAGAATTACGAATAAGTTCCCAACCAGTTTACAGTTCAGAGATCTTGTTAACTTATGAAGTGCAGTTATCTAATTGAAATTTGCGACATAGTTTCGCGAAAGGCTAAGTTGGATGATAAATGCAACTGGGTTTCAAAGAACGGATTTCTCTTGTCAGACTCCATGTTGAAACCACTTGGTTTTCAGTCTATACAAACGTATAGCCGATTTGAATATGGATTTTCATCTTTTCGGTTAGCATTTAGACTGGGCTTTTGAAATTAGCAACATGTATGAACGTCTTCACTATGTTCTTGGCATGGTATTATGAGATCCCAGCTTGGTTACGGGGTGCTTGCACCAAAGATTTTGAGTTTCTTCAAAGGATGCTGGTACGGGAGTTTAAGCGATCACTTCCCAATCATGGATGCCAGACGTTGTTTATCAAGTGCAGCGCGACTATCCTTTGTCTAGTCTTGTACTTCGTAAATGGTGTATACGACGTGCGGACACAAGTAGTCCTTGGGTGTAGTGCAAATTTGGATGAATCCAAACCTATAAATACCTTTGGTAAGTGAAACTGATGTGTAAGTGGGTGTAGTTGGGCTCTATGGGATTCCCAGCATACCCTGACTATGCACCGTTGTATGCAGCAGGATACGTTCCTGGGCAAACAGGGTGTGTTGTTTTTGAACAATAAACCACAAAAAATACCTGGGGGAAAAAGAGAAAATTGTTGAAAGCGGACTGCAGTCGACTGTTGAAACATGTGCAGCCGTATATGGAAGGTTTTACCAATTTAGTATGTTCGTAAGCTAAATGCTGGGGAAGTGTTCTGTTCTACAAATCGATAGCATGTTTCAGTTGTTTGTTTGGAACATTCTAAATACTTATCTACCATCTGTAGTCAATTGCTCACTCGACTCGGAATATGCAGTTTGTCCGCCTGTTTGTGCACAGTAACCATTTCGAACACATTTCCATGGCGTCATCTTTAAGCAGTTTCTTTTAACCTTGGCCTAACATGTACAGACCAACATGCGGCTTGCTTGTATACGCAACAGGTTCAGACTGTTTAAAATAAGGGCACACTCAGGTCGCGTTAATAAGAAAAGGCTGCAATTTGTGCAATTTGAGCTTGCAAACTGTACAATATGTGAACAAGCTAGTCTATGTACGTATCGAACGACAGTAATCCTGGTAGGTCTCATAGTCATCGAATTATGTAGTAGCCTGTTAGCATTCTACCGCCTCTCTCGAATGTGAGGCCTCGGAACACATTATTCGTAAAATGTTCAATTTGCTTTTAATCAGGCGAAACATACATATTATAAAAAGTGCTCCTCAAACTGAGATAATCTGAAACCAACGGGCTCACCACAACTATGGAAATACTAAGTTCGCTGATAATAAATTAATAATGACAACCAGTGCAGCAAATTTGAAACTCACTGATCAAAAGGGAACACATATTTGTCAAAATCATTTGACCGAAAAGCAATATGAAAAGCTAATTGCGCTCTGCTTCTGATAGTATAGACTGAGGTGAAGGCATTAATCCAATAAACAGTGTATCTATTGCTCTAACTGGTTCACTAGACTATCTACCAATGCTGTTTAGTGAAAAGAGAACAAGGAACATCTTGTCGCCCAATCAAGCTTGAGTGAAATGCGGTAGTATACAAATACTTTATGAGTGTGCAACCCCACAAAAGAATGTGTCCTTGATGAAATCTATTGCTACTCAAGTCAGGTTAGACATTTCAAGTTTAAAGTGTGTAATAAAACTATAAAACGAAATACTAAAGCTAAATAAATAAAAACAACTGGAAAAGTAAACAAAAGTTCTGCTGTGGAAGTACACCTGGAAAACAATGGCCATGGTGGAAGTCAGTTCATTTTTGTACCGTTGTTACCGATAGCATTTTTGTTAGTTGATACGTATGCAACTTAGTAGAAAGAACAAAGCGACAGAACCCACAACATCTATTGCGCTTGACAGCAGCTAAAAGTTTCTCACATTCGCAGAAACATATATGTCGTTTCGGTCGGACAAATTTTGCTCCATGTCTTATGAAAGGTAAGCAAAAGGTGAACTGCGTCGCAGTCACTCAGGTGAGTCACATGGAAGCCTTAGGAATCCAGATAAAACAGGAGATGAAACATTAGCAGGAAGGTTGGCGAACAAACCCGTTTTGCTATGGTTTCTCATCAGGTAACCCCGCTAGGAATAGACATAAACATGAGAAATGAGACAAATTTTAAAGGCCTAGCTAATCTGAGTGAACAGACCAGGAAAATAGTCCTACAGTAAGCTTGTGGGTCCATGAGGTCTGTTGTGCGCTGGAAGTCAGGGTATACTGTAGGCCTGGTCCAACGTACTTTGTGCAGATGGGCCAAATCATTGAGGCCAAATGACGGTCGTATCAACCGAGTATCCGATCGTGTGACTTATGGGCACGCGATAGATGGGATTACATGTCTCATGCTCACACACTAACCTGGTCAATCGAATCAAGCAGCCGCACAGAACATACGCTTGTAAGTAATCTGGTCACACCGCTATACACCTAAGTTCTACAAAGCTCCAGACTTTCAAGCACAGAATCCTGGTAGGTACCCAGAGAGAACTGTATCGACATGGATAACACAGTTGGCAAACGCAGATATTGGGGTACTATCGTAAAGTTGTTGAATCTAAATCAGTCTTACATTAATGCTTACTTGTAAACTTGAGGTGCATTAGGTTCAAATAATTGTTGCAGAATCTGTTCCGAATGCTTATTCCTCTACATCTCTCCACTTGAAAAATAAGGATGGGCAAAGCATTTTCTGTCATTTAGTAACCATTCTAACAATCCGTTTCTCGAGGCTTCATGTTTCTCCACGTGCCCTGTTCCTGCCTATTACTTCAATCGAATAATGAACAGTGAAGAATCCCCAATTATTTATCAAGGGTAAAATAGCTTGCGCCGGAGAAGTCTCGTAGGGTGATTAAAGTGAGAAAATATAGGACAAGGATAAGTGGGTGGTCGGTTTAAGAGAGTACAGATTTAACTACACTGCTGTGTAACGGTTTTTCGAAATTAGGATTTTGTAATCGCAAGCAAAGCAATATGAGGAGTGGTTATAACCCATATAATATGTGACAAAAAGGTACCCGAAGTGACAACGCTTAATCGTGTGCACCTTTCTTGGGTCCAAGCGATACGTAAATCCAAA